GCAAGCAGCGCCGGCCCCACCGCCCCGCGCGGATGCCTAAGAGGCATGATGGGCGGCAGCCGCCCCCAGACCGTTTCGGTGGCAGCCAGTGAGGCGGTGCCCTGCTCGCTCGCGCTGGATACAGAGTTTTTTCCCGCCGGGTTTGGAGGCAGCTCGCTGTGCTCCCTCTCGGCCCCCGCACACCTTCACCTCGCGCCCCGTGCGGCGACATCTCGGCGCGCCGCCGCTGCTGCTTGCAAGGTGCGTCGCCGGCCCGCCCTCACCTCGGGACAGCCTCGGGCCATCTTCGGGCTCCTCTCGCGCCCAGGCGACCCTTTTGCTCGATGGCCGCTCGCAGTCTCCGCCGCTCCCGCTTCTGTCGGGCGGCTCTGGCGCGGCGGACGGGTCGGCGGCGGAGGACGCGCAGGCGGAGGAGGGGGCGAGGGGCGGCTCCTTGCGAGGAAGAGAGAGGTGCAGCGGCGACACGCAGGCAAGCTGCGAGCAGGCGGAGCGGGCGAGCTTCGATTCAACGTCGTCGGCGACGCGCAGCGGCAGGAGCAGTGGCAGCGGCAGGGAGGCGAGCGGGCGCCGCTCCTCGCCGGACGAGGTGGACGAGGGCTTCGCGCGCCTCGTCGCCGCGATGGAATCCTCCACCCGCGCCGACGGCGCCCCGTCGCCGCCCCGCCGTCGCCGCAGGGCGCAGGCGCCGCGCTCCCCTCCTCTCCGCCGCCGCCGCCGCTGCCGCCGCCGCCGACGCCGCGGCTCGGGCGGTCATCGCGGCGCGCGGCTGCGTGCGTCCTCCCACCGCTGGGTGGTGGTGGGTGAGTAGTGTGGCTGGGCACGCGACTAGGTGGGAGGCGGCGTACGCGCTGTCGCAGAACGTGGCAGAGCTCGGGATCGACGCATCGCCAGCTGTGTGCCACAAGGCGACGCCTCACGCCTCCGCTCGCCTCCTCTCGCCTCCTCTCGCCTCCTCTCGCCTCCTCTCGGCTCCGCTCGGCTCCTCTCGCCTCCTCTCGGCTCCGCTCGGCTCCTCTCGGCTCCTGTCGGCTGTATCTCGGCTGTATCTCGGCTGTATCTCCGCTGCAGGTGCCCACGGCTGGCTGCATCTCGGCTGTATCTCGGCTGTATCTCGGCTGTATCTCCGCTGTATCTCGGCTGTATCTCGGCTGTATCTCCGCTGCAGGTGCCCACGGCTGGCTGCATCTCGGCTGTATCTCGGCTGTATCTCGGCTGTATCTCGGCTGTATCTCCGCTGTATCTCCGCTGTATCTCCGCTGCAGGTGCCCACGGCTGGCTGCATCTCGGCTGTATCTCCGCTGTATCTCCGCTGTATCTCGGCTGTATCTCCGCTGCAGGTGCCCACGGCTGGCTGCATCTCGGCTGTATCTCGGCTGTATCTCGGCTGTATCTCGGCTGTATCTCCGCTGTATCTCCGCTGTATCTCCGCTGCAGTGCCCACGGCTGGCTGCATCTCGGCTGTATCTCGGCTGTATCTCCGCTGTATCTCCGCTGTATCTCCGCTGTATCTCCGCTGTATCTCCGCTGCAGGTGCCCATGGCTGGCTGCATCTCGGCTGTATCTCGGCTGTATCTCGGCTGTATCTCGGCTGTATCTCCGCTGCAGGTGCCCACGGCCGGCTCGCTGATGCGGCGGTGCGGCGCCATCCTCGAGCAGCTGAGCTCGGAACCTTCTAGGAACCTTCTAGGAACCTTCTAGGTGCGGCGCCATCCTCGAGCAGCTGAGCTCGCGCGAGGAGGAGGCTCGCTGGTTCTCGACACCGCTCGCCGCAGTGCCCGCCTCCGCCGCGGTGGTGCCGCAGCCGCTCGACTATGGCACAGTCCGCCGCCGGCTGCGCGACGGGGTGTACGGCGACGAGCCGCTCGCCTTCGCGAATGACGTGCGCCTCGTCTTCGACGCGGCGCTCGCCAACCACTACAGCGAGGCGGCGCCGCCGCGCGCCGCCGCCAAGTCCGCCTTGCTCGCCTTCGAGCGCTGCTTCGCCGCAGCGATGAGCGCACCAGTCATCGAGACGACGGCGGCGGCGGCGGCGGCGGCGGCGGCGGCGGAGGCGGCGGCGGCGGCGGACGAGGAGGGGGACGAGGAGGGCGGCGCTCCGTTGCGCAAGCTCGCCGCCTTCCTCGTCGCGTGCGGCGGGCAGGCGGGCTTGGTCGACGGCTGGACCACCACGCAAGGCAGCCGCGTGAGCGGCGTGACTGCGGGCACGTCTCCGACCTGTACTGCGGGCGACCCTTCCGGGAGCCTTCCAGGAGCCTTCTGGGACCCTTCTAGGCACGTCCGGCCTGTACTGCGGGCGACCCTTCCGGGAGCCTTCCAGGAGCCTTCTGGGGCCCTTCTAGGCACGTCCGACCTGTACTACCTCTCGCCGCTCGGCGCGCGCTTCCGCTCACGCCGCGAGGTGGCGCGCCACTTTGCGCTCGACGATGAGGCGGGCCTCGCGGCGCTCAAGGCGGCTGCGGAGGCGCGCGTCGCATCGAGGCGGGCGGATGTCGAGGCGCGCAAGGGGAGACCACTCTCTCGGCTGTACCTCGGCGGTACCTCGGCTGTACCTCGCACGTCTCTCGGCTGCACCTCGGCGGTACCTCGGCTGCACCTCGGCGGTACCTCGGCTGCACCTCGGCGGTACCTCGGCTGCACCTCGGCGGTACCTCGGCTGCACCTCGGCGGTACCTCGGCTGCACCTCGGCGGTACCTCGGCTGCACCTCGGCGGTACCTCGGCTGCACCTCGGCGGTACCTCGGCTGTACCTCGCACGTCTCTCGGCTGCACCTCGGCGGTATCTCGGCTGTACCTCGGCGGTACCTCGGCTGCACCTCGGCGGTATCTCGGCTGTACCTCGGCGGTACCTCGGCTGCACCTCGGCGGTACCTCGGCTGCACCTCGGCGGTACCTCGGCTGTACCTCGCACGTCTCTCGGCTGCACCTCGGCGGTATCTCGGCTGTACCTCGGCGGTACCTCGGCTGCACCTCGGCGGTACCTCGGCTGCACCTCGGCGGTACCTCGGCGGTACCTCGGCGGTACCTCGGCTGCACCTCGGCGGTACCTCGGCTGCACCTCGCACGTCTCTCGGCTGCACCTCGGCGGTACCTCGGCTGTACCTCGGCGGTACCTCGGCTGCACCTCGGCGGTACCTCGGCTGCACCTCGGCGGTACCTCGGCTGCACCTCGGCGGTATCTCGGCTGTACCTCGGCGGTACCTCGGCTGTACCTCGGCGGTACCTCGGCTGCACCTCGGCGGTATCTCGGCTGTACCTCGGCGGTACCTCGGCTGTACCTCGGACGTCGAGGCGCCTCGAGTTGTAGTCGTAGTCAGTAGTCCGCGACTCTTCGGAAAGGAGAAGCAACACCGATCACCGCCGCCAGGCTACGGCGGAGAACGAGGGGTCCCCACCCCTCTCTAACCCCTCTCTGTGGGGGCTGCGGGCAGGCGCGCAAGGGGGCGAGGCGTGCTGCGGACGAGAGCCGGCAGAGGCGGCGAGAGGCGCCGCGAGAGAGAGAGAGAGAGAGAGAGAGGCGAGAGAGAGGGAGAGAGAGAGAAAGAGAGAGGCGAGAGAGAGAGAGGGAGGGAGGGGGGAGAGAGAGAGAGAGAGAGAGAGAGAGAGAGAGAGAGAGAGAGAGAGAGAGAGAGAGTAGCACACCACAGCGAGGCGCCGCATCCTATTGAAGACACACCGGGAAGAGAGACCCACCACGGAAGCGTCTCCGGTGGTCGGCGCCACAGCGCGTGTGCGTTGGCCGCCTCCCATGGCCGCATCTCACAAGCAAGCAGCACACCCCACAAGCACAAGCTTTCGCGGCCTCTCCCAGGCGGCGCGCGGGTTCTAGAAACGTCCTAGACACTTCCTATCCACTTCCTCTCCCAGGCGGCGCGCGGCTTCACGCCGCCCGCGCGCGCCGACCACTCCGCACTGCCGCCGCCCGTGCTGGACACGGCGCTGGGCAGGCCCGAGAAGTCGCTTCCGCCGCCGCCGCCGCTCGACGAGCTCCCGCCGCCGCTGCGCTGCCTCGCCCCGCCTGCGGTCGCCGCGCTGCTGACGGTGGCGGACTTTGTGAGGGAGTTGGGCGCGGGGCTGCGCTTGCCTGCCGAGGTGTGGCTCGAGAGTGCGGCGAGAGTGCCCGAGGTTGCCCGAGATTGACCTGAGATTGCCTGCCGGCGGAGGTGACTCGAGAGTGCGGCGAGAGTACCCGCCTGGCGAACCTGCTGCAGCCGCAGCCGCAGCAGCGGCAGCCGCCGCTGCATACGCCGCCGCCGCTGGCGGCGCTGCACACCGCGCTGCTGCGGCTGCTCGACGACGGCGGCACGAACCCCGGGCGGCAGAGCAGCGGCGCGGCGGTCGGCGCTAGCACCATACCTCCAGAGGATCGAACCCAGTGTGGGCTCAGTCCCGTGGGTGGTGCGGTAGTGGCGGTCGGCCCGGCGAATGGCGGCGGCGAGGCGGCGCCCCCGTCCCAGGGGCTGGCTGCGCGGCCTGGGGAGGGCGAGGGCGCGGCGGAGGGCGACGGCTCGTCGGCGGGCGAGGCGGAGGCGCAGACCTGCCCGAAGGCACCCTCCCCTACCCCACGGTACCCGAACCCACCCACCTGCCAGAGCCGGCTCGGAGCTTGCCCGGACGGCGGTGGAATTGAGGAGGCGGCGGAGGAGGAGGCGGCGGAGGCGGAGGCGGAGGAGGCGGCGGCGGAGGCGGCGGAGGCGGAGGCGGCGGAGGCGGCGGAGGCGGCGGAGGAGGAGGCGGCGGAGGCGGCGGAGGCGGAGGCGGCGGAGGAGGTAGAGAAGGAAGAGGCGGAGGAGGCGGAGGAGGAGGAGGCGGAGAAGGCGGAGAAGGCGGAGGAGGAGGGCGAGGGGGCGGAACGGCCCGCCGCCCCAGAGAGGCGCTCGAGTGGCGACAGCGCCGACGGCGTCGCGGAGGCGCGCGCCGCGCGCGCCGCCCGCCCAGCGCCCGCCGCTTGCCCAACCGCCGCCGAGGCGGTGGAGTGCCGTGGGTGCGGCCGAGGAGTTGGAATGTCTTGCCGCCGACGACACGAAAGCTGTGAGCAGGTGGGTGCGGTGGGCGCGACGTGGCCAGCCCGCGCCGCCGCGGCGGCGGCGCGCCGCTTCCTACCCGTGGCGGCGGTCAAGGGCGGGTCGCCGGCGCCGGCGCGCTCTCCCGGCAACGACGCGGGCGCGTGGGCCGCGTCGGCGCTCGAGGCGGCGACCAGCGCGCTCTCGGCGCCGTCCCTGCGCGCGGCGGACGAGCCGCGGGCTGCGGAGGCGGCGTATGCGTCGCTCGGCGCCGAGCCACGGCTGGCGCTGCTGGCGGCGCTGGTGGCGGCGGCGAGCAAAGAGGGGGCGGCGCTCCTTTCCCAAGGCGCGTTAGCCTTGGACCTCCTTCGGAACACCTCCTCTGCAGGCGAGCGAGACGGAGGCGGCCGCCCGCGCGGCCGAGGCGAGCCACAAACCCGCTCTGGGCCCGCTCCCTGCCCTCCGCTCGCCCGCACGCCCGCCTCCTCTCACGCCTCCTCTCACGCCTCCTCTCACGCCTCCTCTCACGCTTCCTCTCACGGCCGCTTTCTCCCACGCCTGCCTCCCCCCATGCCCGCCTCCTCCCACGCTGCCCTCTCCTCCGTCCGCCCAGGCGAGCCACAACGGGCGCCTGGCGGCGCAGGCCGAGGCGGAGGGCAAGACTTCCAAGCGCGACCGCGAGGCGGCGCGCTCCGCCGCGGCGGCCGAGCTGCTGCGGCTGGGCGCGCCGCGCCGCAAGAAGGCGCCGCCGGCCGTGCCGGGCGAGGTCGCTTGCCGCGAACTTGCCCTCAACTTTCTTGGAGATCTCCTCTAGGCGCCGCCGCCGGTGCCGGGCGAGGGCATCGCGGACACGCGGCTCGCCGTTTGCGTCGGCCGGCTGGTGGCGCGGCACAGCTTGCGCGGCCCGTTCTTCGCGCTGTCGCGCGCCGACCTCGACGCGGCGGAGGAGGCGCTCGCGTTGGAGCTGTACCCTACCTCCAGAGGACCGAACCCGGCGTGGGTTCAGTCCCGTGGGTGGTGTGGTAGGCGCTCGCGTTTGAGCTGGCGCTGCAGTGCGCGCCGCTCGACCCCGCGGGCCGCCGCAGGCTCTCTCTCACTCTCACTCCCCCCCCCCCCCCTCCCTCTACCCCTATTCCTCCCCCCCCCCTTCTCTCTCTCTCTGTGTGTGTGTTTGTGTGTGTGTGTACGAGGACCGCCTCCAGCCGAATCCATCACGGCTCCACTAGGCCTCCGCGCGCCGTCGCGCAGGCGGGCGCGCGGCGCGCCGCGCTGAGCAAGCGGCGCGACGAGCAGCGCGCGGCGAGGGCTGAGGCGGAGGCGGCGCTGCGGCGCGCGTCCGAGCCCACCTCCACGGCCTCCGAGCTCTGCGCCGCGCTCGCCGCCGGCCGCGCCGCCGACACGAGAGGAGGACGCGTCCGGGACGCGTCCACGACATGTCCGAGACGTGTCCCAATAGGCAAGCGGCTGGCCGAGGAGGCGGAGATGTCCCCAGGACACGTCCACGACATGTCCGAGACATGTCGCCATAGGCAAGCGGCTGGCCGAGGAGGCGGAGATGTGAGGCACACGTCCACGACATGTCCGAGACGTGTCCACAGGCCGCTCCGCCGGGCTCGAGGGGGACGCGTCCGCGGACGGGCTTGGCTCGCTCGGCGCGGCGACCGGCCGCTGGCTCACCCGGGGCATGCTGGAGGCGTATGCGTGCCTCGGCGCCGCGCTGGCGGAGGAGCAGGCGGCCGCCGAGCGCGCCGCCGCGCACGAGCAGCTGTCCGGCGGCCGCGCTCGCTCCCTCAGCCTCGGACGCGACCGCGCCGGCGCGTCCTACTGGGCCATCGGCCCGCGGGCGCCGCTGAGCGTGTGGGTTGAGCCGTCGCCGCGCGGAGGGCAGCGGGGCGGCGGGGCGGCCGGGTGGCGCCGCTGCGTCGGCTTGGCGGCGGTGGAGGCGCTCGCCGCATCGCTCGACGCGCGCGGCGCCGCCGAGCGCGCGCTGCAAAAGTCGCTCTGGCGGTTGTGCGACGACTCGCTGCGCGCCGAGCACGACGCGGCTGCGGCGCCGTCCCGCGCGCCGCGCTCGAGTCGCCGCCGCGAACCTTCCCTGAGCCTTCTTGGAGCGTCCCTCTAGGCGCCGTCCCGCGCCGCGCTCGAGTCGCTGCTGCCTCCGTTCGAGCCCGCGCCTCCTCCCGCGCCGCCGGCTGGCCTCGCCATCCACGAGCACGCCGAGTCGCTCCCCGGAGGGCTGCTGGCGGCGGAGGTGAGAGAGCCGCGAGATTCCCCGAGATTGCACGCCGGGTCGCTCCCGGGAGGGCTTGCTGGCGGCGGAGGCGGGCTTGCGGCAGTCACGGGGAGTCTCGGCTCTCACCTCGCCTCGCGCCATCTCTCGGCAGGTGGACCGGCGCCTCTTTGAGGGCGCGCACGAGGCCGGCTGGCGCGTCTTTCCGCGCGAGGGGGAGGAGGTGTGAACAGCGTCTCTTCACACCTCCAGCTGTGAACAGGCGCGTCTTTCCGCGCGAGGGCAAGTCGGGCAACGACGGGCACTTTTGGTACCGGATCGGCACACACCGCTTCGGCAGCCGCAACGACGCGTTCGCGCACCTTCGACACGAGGGCGAGGGCGAGGACGCGCCGCCGGGGCGGGCGAGCTCCTCGGGCGGCGGCGCCGGCGCCGAGAATGGGCACGCGCAGGGCGCGCGGCGCAAGACGGGCCGCCAGAATGCGGGCGTAGCGATGTGGAGGGCCCTCGGCGATTACGCGTGAGCGCGAGGGCAGGTGCGCAGGCGGGCCAGGTGCCGCGGCCCGGGTGGGAGAGGATGGCGCGCTGCCGCTGGCCGAGAGAGGGAGGAGCGCGAGCGAAGACGGCAGGTCGCTTTTGCATTTTGGCGGAGATGGGGCGCACCCCCCCTGCACCCACAGCAGGAAAGACAGAGCAAAGAGGCGTGACAAGACTGCTGAGTCCTGAGACTGCACCGCCTCAGACCTCTGTGGTCTGTGCACTGTGGGTGTGGGGGGCGCACATAGACGGATATGTGGTAACTATATCTATAAAACAACTCTCGACTTAACTTATGCATGGGCACGGGCCACGCAGCGAATCCACGAACGCTTGAGGAACAACGGAACGTGGCGGCTAGTAGACGCAGTTGCCACTTCGCAGTTCACAGAGCTTACTGTACCTGTACCTGTGTACTGTACTGAGTGGAGACGTAATGGTAACATCGGGATCTACAAGCAGCGAGCCGAAGCATCACTGTACTAGGGTGCGAGGGCGGGGAGCGCTGCGCGCACGCCCCCCGCAAGCCTCGGCGCTGGCGCCCCGATCTGACGTGCCGCACGACGACAGCCCTAGAGGCAGCGGCACGGCGCCGCCTCGTACCCGAATCGCCGAGCGAGGCAGGCAGATGAAAGGCAAGGTCCGCCTAGGTGGCTGCGCGGGCCGCTCGCGCCATCACACGCGGCATCATCTCCCGGATGTCGACGACGGTGACGGCAGCGCCCTCGCCGCGCGTGGCGCGGAGGGCGGCGAGCTCCTCCTCGAACGCCGGCCGGAGCGACTGCACCTTCTCCCTCGCCACCGCCTGCTGGGCCGCCTAGCAAGGACATTCCGAGGAGGCTCAGGCCGGGTACCCGTCCGCCGCATCGTCCGCCGCCCGGCTGCGGGGCCGCCGTCAGCGTGCTGAACTTTGGCCCGCTGGTGAGCGCGGCGGTGAAGGCGTCGACGTCGAAGAAGGCGTCGCGCAGCGGCAGCGGTGGGCCGTGCTGAGGCTGCTGCTGCGGGGGCCGCGGCAGCGGCAGCGGCAGCGATGGGCCGTGCTGAGGCTGCCGCTGCGGGGGCCGCGGCAGCGGCAGCGGCAGCGATGGGCCGTGCTGAGGCTGCCGCTGCCGCTGCTGCTGCGGCGGCGGCTGCTCGTTGCCGCGCGCGCTCCACAGACGCAGGACGGGATGCTGTTCACAGCGGGAGGTGTGAAGAGACGCCGTTCACAGCTGCAGGCGTGTGAAGACCCGTCGTGGGGTCGCGCCTGGCCCGTTGCCGCGACGCCGTGCTCCGACAGGAGCTGCCGGTTGCCCTGCTGGTAGCGCTGCTGCGCCTGCTCGGTCTGCATGGTCTGCAACCGGTGCCACCGATTCCT